CAGGCAGCAGAACCACTGAGCTAAATCTCGGGCCCAGCATTATGCATTTCAATGTTTGGGTAGATGCTGAAACTTCTACTCCAATTCCCGTAAACTAAGCTTCTATGGAAAAAGAGGAAGGATGCTACACAAGATTGTAATCATTTGTCTCTAGGGGAAGATCTTAGGTTTAATTATTCTTTGAGTGGAAGTAGATGGCTCCACCGAAGAGGAGACAAGAGGTTTCAGTCTATTTCTTTTAAAATATGAAGAGCCAAAGGCTCTTGGGGAAAAGGAGAGATTCTTTATCTTTATAGCACGTCAATTTTCATTGCTCTGTGGTAAAGAAACACAAGCATATTCACACTCCTTCCTAGTATCATCACCATGACTTCTTTATTCTGTATTAGAGGCAGGTCAGTAAGTCCAGCCACATTCAAGGGGAGGAGGAGACTATTAGGCTAGAAGGGAGACTCCTCTAGAAGGGAGGAGTCAGAAAATCTGTGGATATTTTTAAGCTACTACATTTTGCTCAAAAATAACGTATTTTACACACATGCTAAATATATGCACCCCCTTGTTCAGGTTCCCAAAAGTCACATCCCATTCTAAATCAGCTGAACTTTCAGAATCGTCATTTAATTCAGGACCATTGTCTATGAGGTTTTGTGGCTGTAGTTCCTTAGGTACAGTTCTTAACCCAAAGCCCTGAGAACTAAAGTATAAAGTTATCTTCACACACCAAATACAAACGGCAAGACAGACACAAGAGAATAGATATTTCTATTCAAAAAGGAAGAAAACAAGAACAATAGAGTCATAATCTGCAGCAATTTTGAATCCAGTTGGGAAATGTTAGAAGTAGGCCAGGACTCACAGTGTGAGAATAAGCCTCCATGGCATTTAGCTCTGTTCTTAGTTCTGCCTTCTTAGGCATCTTTTCTTTTCCATGGAAGGTAGCCCATTTTTGCAGCAGGCAGTTTTCTTAGCCTACTTTGTATTTATCCAGGTTTTGAGAGACCAAACTTCATTTTGTATGAAGGGATACCCTTTCAGTCCAAATTGGTAGTCTTTCTGTCTTCAAAATATAATTGTCTTTAAAATACAGTTAATCTTTTGGGATTCACTCCACTTGGCAAAAGCTAAACTCACAAATCAATTGGAAATAAACATCTCTGCTTTGGGCTTCTGCTGAGATGGCTAGATGTCAATGACCTTAAGCTTCTTGGAAGTCCTATTATTTGATTAACAGGACTTGTGGGGACCAAGCTTAACTAACTCTTGTGGGAGACATTTTGCTTGATTGAACAGAACTTGAGGTAGACCTTTGGTCTTCCTGAGACCTTAGAAAAGGAAATTAGGGTCTCACCTTTGGCTTCACTTTTAGACCAAGCTTTCCTGATAGTGCCCTGGGTTTTATCTTTGCTTAGAAGCCATTTTAAATTTTGGTATCATTTGGTATCTTGGAAGATGAGAATTTTCAAAACCATCACTCTAAGCTATTTTATGTTTAATAGTCTTTTATTTTTCCCCCTCTACTATCACATTTTACATAAATAGCACAAAGAAACTAGGTGGCATCTTCAATATGCCTACTGGAACCCTCCTTAGCTGGATGTTTATAATTAGGCACATTTTCTACTTTCCTTGTAATTGTAGGTGACAGTGTTACTAAACTTTCTGCCATTGCATAATAAGATTCCCTTTCCTCCAGTGTCCAGTAAACATCTCTTCCCTTTCCTGTGGGCCTTCACCCCAGCTTCCTCAAAGGATACTGATGCTTCTCCAGTTATTTCAAGGGTTTCCAAATGTCCTCAAATGCTTCAGAGCCCTTGTACATCTGTTTACTTCCTTGTTTCAAAGTCACTCCTAGATTTCAGTTGTTAGTTACCCAGCACCCCACATCTAGGTGCCAACATTTGTGTGGCTTTTTTCTCTATGTAACAAATGACTTGAACACTTAGTAGCTTCAAACAGCAAGCATTCATTATCTCTCAATTCCGTAAGTCAGCAACTTTGGGGCAGTTTAGTGCAGGTGATTCTGGCTCAGATCCCTCAGGAACTCATGGTCAAGGTGTTGGCCAAGACCTTTACAGAAAATGAGATGGAACCCTGGCCACCCCAGTGGGACTCAGGGAAAAGATCAGGTAAGCAGTCTGGCCCTAAGGAATAGATGAGAAAACCCTGCCCTTCAAAACTACAGGGAACTCATGGTGTAGAATTATGATTAGAATGAGGGCAGGCTCTGAGGGGCATAGTGAAAGTGTTGGGCTAAGTTAGTGAGTGGCAGAAATAGGCTCACTCAAAGAGCTGCTGCAACAGCCCCTGAGACATTTGGGGTTAGTTACCGCAGGACACATTATTCAATGCCCGTGTCCAGCCACAACAGTTTCACTGACTGTGTGGCGTTTGATGCCCCAGGCATAATCTGTCCAGGTCAGACAACAGCAGGGCTGTTTAATACATCCAGAAACCATGCCCAAGGTGCTTGTTTGTGGGATGAATCAAACAAAAGGAAATTATCATAACAAGAACTTGGGTGCAAACTGAGAAATATCTCTGGAATTCATAGGAACAAGTCCAGTTCCATCAAGCTCATTCTTTATTAGAGGCTTTTATATCCCGGGTTACAAAGCAGCTCTTTGGATGCAACAATGAATACCACAGATATCGCTTACTAATTGAGGGACTGCATTGTTGATTATCACCTCCTTCGCTCATTCTCTTCACATTAGCTTCTTATGTATGACTGGAATTGATCCACTCCTTCCCCTCTCTGCTGTCACCTTTCATTTCCAAACCACAACTATCATTCATCAGGAGGACCACAGTCATCTTCTGACAGGACTTCCTCTTGTACGGGTTTCTCTCCAATTGTGTCATTCACCACAGCATCCACAGTGTACTTTCAAAACCTGCAAGATAGGTGGGAGGGGAAGGGGAAAGGAAAGAATGGAAAGGAAAAATTATGAGAAAAGAAAAAAAATGGAAACAAAGCTTTTGTAAATAGGGAAG